TTTTTTATTTTAGCCAGTTCTGTAACTTTTGTACTGTTTTTTCTTTAAATATTGTTTAAATATTGTACTGTTTTTCTTTAAATATTATCTCTTCTCCATTATCCCTATTATATCCTTCAGAGTGTTTAACTTAAAACATTTTATAACTTTATATCCCATATCTTTTTGAATATTTCCATCTCTTTGTCTCTGTGTGCTGCATTCTGGGTGATATATCTTCCAGTTCACTAATTCTTTCTCCAGCTACACCTAGCTCAGCTCTTCAGCCCACTGAGGACTTGTCATTCTGCACAGTTTTTCCTTTCCAGATTTATCCGTTTGTTTCTAATTATCCCGTGTTGATTGGTCATTTTTTGTTGTCATTGTTCTATATTTTATTTCTGACAATTTCATTATCTGTGATCTTGGGTCTTTTTCTGCTGACCTTCAATTTTAGTGACTTGTTTTCTTGTTTAATTGGTGATTTTTGTGTTGCACTCACTGCTTGGTTTTGATTGGTGGGAGTTGGGAAAGCTTTCTACAGAGTGATTAATTTCTGCTCTTCCCTTATTCAAGGGGCTGCTGCTGACCTTGAGGGCTGAACTTGGTGCAGGAGACTTGTTGTCTTCCCCATCCTGCCGCTGACCTAAGCTCAGCCGCAGCCCTCAGGGAGCCCTCACCCCGCAGCTCATGCGCTCACTTAATGTGGCTTAACCCCAGCTCCTCTTTGCTCCAGGCCCCGTTCAGTTTTTTGTTTGCTTATTTGTACAAGTGGACGAGGAGGTGACAGTTCTCTCCTACCTCTTACGAAAGGGGCGGTGTCTCAGGTGGTGTTTCCAACCAGAGTGTGGGGTCTAGTTGTGCAGTGGTGGTGGAGGAAGCCTCCTCAGGGTGTACGAGCAGACCTAGCACCCAAGGCAGGCATCTGGGTTATGCCATCTAAACAGTGGGGTTTGGGTGGGAATAGAGTTAGATGTGAGTTTTCAGCCCACCATCTCTGCCAGGAAGACCCCCTCCTGTCACTCCTCAGTGTCCTACCCTCTGCCTCCGTCCCCCCAGTGCCACCCACTGCTCACCCCATCCCCGTTTCCTGCTTGCTTTCCATGATCTCCCCTTCCTTCTCCAGCAGTGGACATTCTGACCGCTTCTGCCTCCTTTGCAATGGGCTGGCTCTGTGTCCGGCCACCCACACAGAGGACTGCTGGCTGTGTCTGGCCCAGCCAGCAGCCCCCTGAAATCCCAGCAGACGCATTTCTAGCCCATGTGAGGGGCCTTCAGGCATTAGCATAGATGCTGGGATCACTTTGCTTGGTCCAGTGTCCCTCATCTACTTGACATGTGATGCATTGCAGAACCCATAGGAGCCTCAGGAGGGAGCCTGTCCGCGCTGGCCCCCGCATCCCCGGGCCGGCCCAGCCAGGCCAAGACCGTCCCGAACTTAATGCTCTGAGGTAGGCTGGGCCGACGTAGCCGACTGGGGGACGTACTGTCAGCCTCCAGGCTGTGAGCGCCGTTACTGCCTTTCCATCAAAGTAAGCCTGGAATTCATTAACTTCCATCACTTCCACCATGTCCTGCGGCCCAAAGCTCCCTCTCCTCTGGGTTAGTGCAGTGGCCCCTAGCTCTCTCTTCTTCTGCCTTTGCCCCCCTGCACTCTGCTCTCAAAATGACCAGACGACCATTTAGAACGTGCACTGATGAGTGATTTCTCTACTCAAAGCCCTCCTGTGACGCCCCATCCACTCTTCACCTCTCCAGGAGCACAAGCTCACGGCCCGTCTGCCCCGGCCTCCTGCCGGGCTACCCCTGCTCTCTGTGCCGGCCCCAGCACCAGCGGCACCGCCAGCCCCACACCCACATCACCAGCACCAGCGGCAGCAGCGCCCCAGCCCCACACCCACATCCACATCATCACCAGCACCAGCGGCACCGCCAGCCCCACACCCACATCATCACCAGCACCAGCGGCACCGCCAGCCCCACACCCACATCATCACCAGCACCAGCGGCACCGCCAGCCCCACACCCACATCATCACCAGCACCAGCGGCACCGCCAGCCCCACACCCACATCATCACCAGCACCAGCGGCACCGCCAGCCCCACACCCACATCATCACCAGCACCAGCGGCACCGCCAGCCCCACACCCACATCATCACCAGCACCAGCGGCACCGCCAGCCCCACACCCACATCATCACCAGCACCAGCGGCACCGCCAGCCCCTCTTCCTCAGAGCCTGAGCGTCACCTAGTGCAGGATTCCTTTACAGGTTTACTTTCATCATGTGCTTCCTTCCAATCTCGTTCCTGAACACACCAAACTTGTTTCTGAGTCCGCTCTAAGTCCTGGGCACTCTCCAGGGTGCTGTCCTCCGGGTGCCGGCCCGGGAGGCTTCTGCACAGGCACCTCCGTGTTGACTTGTGCTCCCACACGGGCAGTAGATGTTCTGGCCCCAAAGACAACACTCCCCCTCCCCCCAAGGCCCCACCCAAGCCTGTGCTCCAGAAGGAGGGGGGGTGGACATGGGTGTCCCGGGGGTGCCCCCCACTGTCTTTCCCCGGCCTTCAGTGTTCTCACAGGATGTCCCCTGTCCTGTAAATGGCACGTGGTTTGTGAGTCCAGCCTACAGTCTCTCATTTGACTAGAGGGTTTAGCCCATTGATTCAGGTTTAAATCTGTAATTGTGTTACATGCTCGGCTCAGTGGTACACTTGAGTTTTGAGCTCAGGTGTGGATGACACAGTCAACCTGCTTCACTGAGTCTCACACGTGATCATCCCAACGTCAATGGCTTTGGGGTCTGGTTTTGGAGCTTGATGTCTCCTCCAACTTAAGGGTGTCATTTCCCCGTGTTTGGTGGGTTTGATTTGAGTTCATGTCAAGGTAGGGATTTTGAGTCCGGAGTCCACAGTGCAGTCTGCAGGGAGCACCTATGCTTATTTCCTCTCGGTGCCTCAGGATGTTAATTGGGGTTTTCAGACCTTTGCTGTGGTCTCAGACCGCAAGCCCTGGCGAGCGTCGGGGTGCGTTCGGGAATTGTGTTCTCTGTGCAGAGCCCCGTGCTGGAGGCTGTGCTCTCGCAGGGCCGGCTGTGTGCTGGCTCCCATGCTGGGGCTGCCGCTGCGAGCGCCTCAGACACCAGGCAGAGGGTTCAGAGGTCAGAGGGGCTGTTCAGGGTGGAGTTTGGCTCCTGCACCACTGCTCACCAGTGGCCGCCCTCTGCAAAACCAGGCCAGCTCCTCTGTCTGGTACTCAGTGTCAGGGCTCCTGCCAAATAGATGAAGCAAATCAAGCTTCTCAATCACTTGAAGTCACCCTGCCCCTGCCCTGCACCCCAGGGCCACTTGCTGGGTGCCTGCGGGGCAGCTGCTGCCCAGGGGCAGGAACGTCTGTGCCCCTGGACCCCCAGGGATCTGGACCGGGTGGCGATCCAGTGACGTGCAGGGAGCCAGGTATGCGGGATGCAGGTGTGGCGCCTGGTGGGGTGTGGGCTGGCACCTCCATTGGGGAGTGCTGGGCCCGAAGACCCTGTGCCCATAAGTCCATGGAGCACGTCTGCTGGGAACCTCGGGCACATGAGTCCCCTCCTAGCACAAGTGCCGTCTGTCGAGCAGGGCTTCCGCTGGGCTTCCAACCCCTGACTGGGGGCGGCTGCTTTCACTCCTTCCTCCCTGAGGCCAAGGGTCAGGGTGACCGTGGGGGATAGAAATCTGTTGTGGAGAGGATGGGTTGGGGGGGTCCGAGGTCGAGCTCGTGGGGAGGGGTGTCAGGGAGGAGAGAGGCGCCATCAGAGGAGACAGAGAGGCCAGTGGGGGGTTGGGGTGGGAGCCTGGGGGTCAAGGGCACATGCAGGGCAAGGAACAGGAGCAAAGTCACGGGCCCCCAGGTGCAGGGATGGGCAGACAGGGCCCTGGACAGCAGTGGGGGGCGGCTGCGAGGACGGGTAGGTGCTGGCGGGAAACGCAAGAGCCCTTTCCAGGCATGTCTGCAAGCCGGCAGGGGCGGGCCCAAGAGAACTGTGTCCTTGGGTGGAAGGGGGAGCACGTCTGCTGGGGCAGAGGGACAAGGGGCACAGAGGAGAGACTGGTGACGGAGACCCCGCGGCAGGTGCCCGGAGCTCGGGGGGAGGGCCTGAGCAAGCCGCTTGGACGGGACACGGAGGGTCACCTGTGCTGACTCGAGCGGGGACCGAGGACGTGGGGAGCCCGGGGGGCCGCCCAGAGTAACCTTCAGGTGGACAGGTGACCCTAAGGGAATGGAGAGGGTGGGCGGGTGGGTCTCCACGAGGGAGAGAAAGGGCCCGAGAGCCAAGAACCGGCCGGAGCAGGCTGAGGCGGGCAGAGAGCATGGCGCTGGGCGAGGGCTCTGCGTCTCCACGAGGGAGAGAAAGGGCCCGAGAGCCAAGAACCGGCCGGAGCAGGCTGAGGCGGGCAGAGAGCATGGCGCTGGGCGAGGGCTCTGCGTCTAAGGAGGCCAAGCAGGAGAAAGAGTGGTCTGGGGGCGTCAAGGGAGCAGGCAGTCCCCTGAGGGACCAGCCGGGACCCACACCAGCAGGACGAGGTCGTGAACCCCGACCTCAGACAAGGGCTAGGGCAGGTCAGGAGTGAGGCCTCAGGGCCCCCCTGCGAGGCCAGGGGCCTCGATGGTCAGAGGCCTGGGGGGGGCTGGTAATGCTGGTCCTCTGAGTTCCCCATGTGCCGTGTGTGCCGTGTGTGTGTGTGCCGTGTGCGCCGCGTGTGTGTGCGCGGTGGTCCACTGGCTCCTCCCCGCAGGGTGACACCTGCTCATCAGGGAAGTCTGGTGGCCCATCTGCCGGCCCCGCCTTCACCCGGCACCTGCCCAGGACACACAGACCACAGCACCGGGTGTCAGGAGAGCTAGTCTTTATTCAAGAGCTGGGATGGGAACGCGAGGAGGCAGGTGTTGGTCTCGCTCCGGTGACCCGGCGGCCCGGGCGGCTGCCTGGCGACCAGGTCTGAGGTATTTCACGGCCGGGGTGTGGCTCTCGTGCAGCGCGGCCGCCGGGCCGGGGGCCAGTCTCTGCGCGGAGGTCGCCGGCGGCGGGGCTCAGGGGGCTCTGAGACCCCGGCGTCAGACGCAGTTGTCAGGGACGCACGGGGCCTCCTCCTCCAGCGCCGGGCAGGGCGCCCCGTGGTTGGCGGGCTGCGCACGGACGTAGCGCGTCCTGCTCTTGGCCCCGGGCCGCCCGCACAGGCCTGCGCACAGCCCCCAGGACGACCACAGCGACACCTCGCAGTCCAGCGGCGTCTCCGGAGCTGGGGGCGCAAGGAGGACGGTGAGCGAGGCGGGGCTGCGGGAGAGGAAGGGGGTCCTCGCCCGACACCGCCTCCGAACTTGGCCAGGAAACTCCTGATTTTATCAGCGCGCTTTCCAGACGCCTCCAGGGCGACGCCACCAAGCACACCCCCGAAAAGCCACCCCCGAGCGACTGGGTGAAGGTTTCCGCCCTGAGAGCCCGATGCCGGCTGGACCCCCGCTCTCCGGGGCGTCGGGTGTGGGGCGGGGGGAGAGCGGAGATCCCGTCGTGAGACGTTCTCTGACGCGGGCACAGACCGGCAGGGTCTCCACCGCCTGCGCGGCTGTTCCAGGCGCGGACCCTTCGGGAGGCTGGTCACACTGGGGCCGCGGCCCCCCTCGCTCGCCCGGCACCTGCGCACCGCTCGCCCCGCCCCCGCGGGCAGCACCGCCCCCACCGACCCGCTGCC